TGTATAAACAAACGAGAGCTTTACCTAAGCTGCTTAGAAGCAGTTCACTGGTTCCAGAAGTTGAAAGCCAGAGTTATTTGCAGTTCATTGGTAAAGGTGCTATTATTGGGCAAATGTTCTTCCAAGAATATCTTATCTGAATTACTGCAGGCTTCCCACTTCATGCATGCATTTTAGGTCTATATAAGATGCAGGTGATGGTGGGTGACAATTTTGTTGTAGAAATCTCTAAATAAATAGCTTCTGATTATTCTTATTGAGTGGTCTCCATTGTTTCCCACAAGTGCAAAGTCCTTAGTCTTGCAAAAGAGGAAACTGAACCCAGAGAATGTCATGGATGTGATCACTCTCAAAAGACTTTGGAGTATTTGGGTCTTAGGGCATGAATTCCTGGTTGTCCGTCAATATCCGTCTTCTTCTTGTTTCCTAGTAATAGAATCCCCAAATATTAGCTGGGCCCATTGCTGCATAGGAAGACTACAGTGTACAACTTCCCTTGCCATTAGACATGGCCCTGAGACTAAGTTCTTGCCAGTGGTCCATAAGCAAAAGTGATATATTGCACTTGTTTATTGAGAAATGTCTAAAGTACATCACAGTCTTAATGTTTGTGACTTGTTTATTTGAATAATAATGGAAGAATCATTTTCATATTGATTTGTTTGAGGGTGTGTGCTTGCATAATTAAAAAAACTTGGCTGGCCTTTGTCCCTGATTCCCAGGAGATAACTTCTAAATTCTTGAAATTTCTGAGCGATAGGAGTGTCTGTTATTCACAGTGGGCCCCCTGGACCACTAGCTTATTCTAGTAAGGTTGGCTTCTAAATAGTTTATGCTAATTAATGACAGGATAGTAACTGACCATGCCAGAAATACCAAACATGATTAGAGTGTTAGGGGCTTTGAGCCATGTGATATCAGCCCAACTCTAGAGAGGTGATGTAGTTTGGAGTTTTGCCCCCTCCAAATCTCATGTCAAAATCTGACCCCCCAGTGTTGGAGGTGAGGCCCAGAGGGAGGTGTCTGGTTCACAGGGATATTCCCCTCATGAATGACTTGCTCAATTTGTTCCATCAAGAACTGATTGTTTAAAAATAGCCTGTCACCTCCCTCCTCTCTCTCTCTCTTGCACCCTCTCTTTCCATGTAGACACATCAGCTCCCCTTGCTTTCTGGCATGAGTGAAATTTGCCTGAGGCCCTCACCATAAGCCAAGCAGATGACAGTCCATACTTCTTGTACAGCATGCAGAACTGAGTCAAATACACCTCTTTTCTTTATAAATTACTCAGCCTCAGGTATTCCTTATGGCAATGCAAACAGAGACAGGAGGGGAGGGGAGCTGGTAATTGAGTTCAACTGTGTGACCAGTTCATTCGTTTCCTATGTAATGAAACCCCAACAAAAGCTTTGGACACCAAAGCTTAGTGAGATTCCTGATGAGCAGTACTCTGTGTACTGTGACACATCAATGTGCCAGCAGGGTAACATACCTCTGGGGATGACAGAAGCTTTGCATTTGGGACATTTCCAGGCCTCGTGTTAAGCATTTCTTCCTTAGGCTGATTCTGATTTGTATCCTTTTGCTATAATAAAATTGTCATAATAAATACAGCACTTTCCTGAGTTCTGAGAGTCATTCTAGTGAGTTATCTAGCCTGTGGAGGAAGTGGAAAACCATGAATTTGTAGCCACGTGGTCAGAAGTCAAGGAGTCCTGGAGACCCTCAAATTTGTAGTTGGTATCTGAAGTGAGGGCAGTCTCATGGCCTACTGAGTCGTTAACCTGTGAAGTTTGTCCTAATTTTGGGCAGCTGGTATCAGAAATCATTACAGTGCTACAAACTAAAATAGTAAAATAGCATTGAATTTGTTTGTACATACACACACACACACCCCATCCCACCCCTAAAAGATGGAATAATACTGCTGTATATTTGAATTGGAAAAATAACTACAGGAAGCAACATTGCATTTTTCTAAGGAAATCTTTAATTGGTAGTTTTCTAGAAGAAAAGCTTTTCATCTTGTCCAAAAATGTTCGTTGGAAGCACTGAGAAAACCTGACATTATAAGTTACTTTTCAAATTGAAATATGGTTAATGAGCACCTACTGTTTGTTCATTTCTGAAAGGAATTATGAGTTGTGACCTGAAGCAGTTAACAAAGTGGTGAAATGATTTTAAACAATGATTTAAATAGATCAACACAGTGTTAAGAATTATCACGAGAACATATACTCTCCATTAAAAAAAATTTTTTTGCAAACAAAGTAAAATTTTATACCAATGTTCAAGAGGCTACTTTCTCAAGGAGGGGGCCTCTGTACAAGGTTCTGACTGATTATGTAGCCTTTATATAGGTGAGGAAAGCTTCCCAGGCTGGTGGTACAGCTTAGGTAAAGGTTTGCAGGCTGAGAAGTGCAAAGGCATTCAGAGGGGTGGCAGGAGAGCTAGTTTGTCAGCAATGGAAGCTCTTGTCAGGAACAACAGGAGGTTGGGACAGACTGAAGAGAGCATGAAATGCCTAACAGAAAAGTGGGGATTTATCTTGTAGGCAGTGCAAAGAATTTTTGGACGGGGTAAGCAGTGGGTTCAGACTGATGAGAATGGTAAACATGGCAGGGATACACAAAAGAGAAGGGTTTTGGGAAAAGCACAGTTACAAATTGTGGCAGGCATCCAGATATAAAGTGGCTTGGGTGGGTGTCAGAGAAGGGCACTGGAAAAAAGGAGCGATGAAGCAAACTAAGCTGTTACTAGTGTAAAAGATTTGCTTGTGTGAACCTTGGCTCTCTGGGGAAAAAAATCCTGTATGATTTTTAGGTTCTGAGACTGGCAACCTGTCCTCAGCTGTGCAAGTGCAAGATCCAGAAGCCTCCTCTGCATTCAACCTGCCTTGGCTAACCTCGTGAACTCTTAGACCCAGCCTGTGTACCTGGACCCACCTTGAGCTGGTCTCTTCAATTCTGGGCTCAGCATTCTCCTCTAGACTTTAAATGCTTGAAGAACTGGCCTAGTACGAGTTACTCCTTATTAGGCAAGACTCTGTGTTCTATACCAGCTCTTGTTCTTGACTTCTTCACCTGAGATGCACAGCCAGCATGAAATGAACTAAAGAGGAGCCTGACAAGGTTCTAAGACCCAGTAAATGTAGGGGTAACTGTCACAGAAAATAAAAATGGATACCAATGACACACAGATAGCTTGAAGTAACAGGTAAAAACAGGAAAATTAGTTTAGCAACCATTAATATAGCGGTGTATTTGATTTATTAAAAGATTATTTTATTGAGGTATAATTTATATACCATCAAATTCACCCCTTCTAGGCATAATCCAATGAATTTTAGTGAATTTGACAAATTGTTCAACCATCACCACCACTCAGTAATAGAACATTTCTAGCACCCTAAAAAGATTCCTTGCAAAATCTGCAGTCACTCCCAGTTGCCACTCCCAGGCAACCACTAATCTACTTTGTCTCTAAATATCTGCCTTTTTGGACATTTTCTAAAATGGAATTGTGCAATACGTGGTCTCTGGCATCTGCCTTCTTTCACTTAGAATAATGTTTTTGAGGTTTTGATATTTTTATAATATCCATATTTTAGTAATTTTAATATTTAAACAAGGTTCCATTTCAAAAGTTTCAAATCCAGTAGTGTAAAGATGTAATGAAAACTGCTTTTTGATCAAATATAGACCACTCCATTGCCTCACAGAGAAAAGTAACATGTGTTACAGAGAACAAGTGCATGAGGGTACTGTACAGGGAAGGCCTTCAGTCTCTCAGTCCCCAAACTATAGCTGTGAACCACGGGAAAGAAGTTCAGCTCAGTTAGATCTATAGGCCATGACATGATACTTCCTGAACAGGTTTCCTTAGCTCTAAAATATGGTTGGGCTAGACCACTGGTGGCTCTCCAACTTTCTCAGTCTCCATCCTCTTCACCCACACTATAACTCCCCAACTCATCAGAAACAGAATGGGGAAGGAGTACACAAGTGCAGTTATACAGGTGGTTCTCACCTACTAGAATCCACCAGACAAGGTGATTTCTCAGCTTATTTTCAGCTCTAGTTTTATGACTCTCAAGTCTAAAAGAAGTTTCCTCATGTTTATTAAGCTCCCAGCATTTCTCTTTTTTTTTTTTTTTTGAGTTGGAGTCTCACTCTGTCACCCAGACTGGAGTGCAGTGGCCGCCACTCAGTCGCCCAGACTGGACCTGCTGGGCTCCGGCAGTACTTCTGCCTCAGCCTTCCAAGTAGCTGGAATTACAGGCATGTGCTACCACACCCGGCTGATCTTTTTATTTATTGTAGAGATGAGGTCTCACTGCCCAGGCGGGTCTCGAACCCGCGGGCTCAGGCAGTCCACTCACCTCAGTCTCCCAAAGGCGCGGGATTCCAGGCTGAGCCACCGAGCCCAGCCCAGCATTTCTCTTTAAGGTGAAGACTTAACAAATGCTGAGCTCTCAACTATATTAATAGGTTTTCCCAGTTTCACTAAATTTGAAGTCATAAATTCTTTAATGGGCAAAAGCGTGGAACAGCCATCAAAGGCTTTCCCACATGTGTCACATTATCAGGGTTTCTAGCTAATAGGGAGAGTTCGCCAAGGCTTATAAAATGATGAGGCGTGGCTGAAGCCATTCACAGCATTTTTAGGGTTTTTCTCAAGTATGAATTTTCTGATGCTTAATAAAAAATGAACACTGATGAAGAACTTCCTCCATTTCCTACCTTCACAGGGTCTCTCTCTAGTATGTGTTCTTGATACTTACTAAGGGAACAGGTATTACCGCAGGTGTCTCCATTCTTACAATTGGAGAATTTCTCTCCAGTGTGAGCTATCTAATTTTTGTAAGGAATAGTATGTGACTGAAAGCTTACCGTACTCATTACACTGAGAAGGCTCCTCCCAAGTATAAACTGTCTGATGCACACACCCTCTGACAGAAGCCTTTCCATACTCATTACACTCATGTGATTTCTCACCAGTATGGATTCTCCAGTGTCTGGTAAAAGAGGACATGTGGCTGAAAGCCCACCCTCTCTCTTGACAATGACAGGGCTTCTCTTTAGTATGTACTGATGTTGAACAAAATGTGCCTTCCAACCAATGGTCTTCCCACATACATTACACTTTTAGGATCTTTCTCCATCATAAATTCTCTGAGGTTTGGTAATGTGTATACTCCAGCTGAAAGCCCTTCTACCTTCACTGAATTCATAGGATTTTTTTTCCAGCATGACTTTTCTGATGCTTAATAAGAGATGCAGTATGAGCAAAGGCTCTTCCACATTTGTTACATTTGTAGGGTTTCTCTCCAGTATGAAATCTATAATGTTGAGTGAGAGATGAACTCTGGCTAAAGGCTCGCCCACATTTATTACATTTGTAAGGTTTTTCTCCAGTGTGAAATCTATAATGCACAATGAGAGATGAACTCTGGCTAAAGGTTCTCCCACATTCCCTGCATTCATAGGGCTTCTCTCCAGTATGAGTTCTCTGATGTTTAATAAGGGATGAAGTATGACCAAAGGCTCGTCCACATTCATTGCATTTGTAGGGTTTCTCTCCCGTGTGAAATCTATAATGTAGAATGAGAGATGAACTCTGGCTGAAGGCTCTCCCACATTCACTGCATTCATAGGGCTTTTCTCCAGTATGAGTCCTCTGATGTTTAATAAGGGATGAAATATGGCCAAAGGCTCTCCCACATTCACTGCATTCATAGGGCTTTTCTCCAGTGTGACATCGCTGATGGCGCCTAAGTTCTGACTGGAAATGAAAGGGCTTTCCACATTCATGACATCTACAAGATTTCTTCTCTGGTTGGGTTCTTGGAGAGTTATTTCCCCCTGAAGTCTGTCTAAATTTTGTATCCCATTTATAGGATCCTTCTCCCATGGGAACATTGTGTTGGTTAACAAGAACTGATGTGAAGCCTGAACTTCTGCCAGATTCACTCCATTCATAATCTCTCCTAAAACTGAGAGCAGACTTGTGAGTGGTTGACATTTTTTTCAGGTGTCTTTCCTGCTTTATCTGCTGCATCTCTAACTGGTCATCATAACCACAGGTTGCTTTCAGTTTCGAGGACCAGAGCTCACCTTGACTGTATTTTTCCATCAATGCTACCTGGAATAATTCTTCTCTGGAAATGCCTTGACTTGGCATTGATTCCTTGCCTTTAGGCCTTTTCTCCCAGTCTGTTAAAAAAAAAAATGCACATTCTAGTTCTATGTGCCAAGAGAAAGTAAACTCCTATATTGGATGTAAAATAATAATTAAGATTTAAAATGATATCTAAAAGGGATGTACAGATTCTTTCAGGAATGACTTATATCTTAAGTTTTTGGAGGTGTCATGAAGGAGGTGACTGGAGATTAGGAAAACCTGAGAGAACTGTATGTAGATTCCACTACACAAGGGAAGGCCAAAGACTGTAAAGATGAGAGGAGGGCAGGAAGGATGACAAGGGAAATAGGCTGAGTTTCAGGGACAGGGGTAAAAAATAATAGACAAAGTTTAGGGTTGTAAGTCACCTGGGTATAGTAGACTCTATATCCTCATAATCTCTTCAGGCCTAGATAATTGTAACAGACTTCTACCCCGTTCTCCTACCTAGTCTTTCCTGAAACCCTTCATCATGTTCTTCTTCCCAAAATATCCCTTTCCTTGTGTTTCTTCCCAGTCCTAATGCTCCAAAGGCTCTCCAGTGCCTACACGACAAAACTTGAATTCCTCACTCTAGCCCTATAATATTTAACCAAGTCGTCTTCTTCAGCAAGTACTCTTAGCACCAAAGTTGACTGTCTCCCTGTTTCCCAAATGTTCACACCCATTCTCATCGCCTTCTTTCTCTAAGGCTTTGCACATCTTTCAGGGACAAATTCAAGTCCTCCACAAAGTCTTCCCTTAACACCCTCCAGTCCATACCATATATTATCATGTACTATGTACATATTGCATATATATCATATTACTGTATATAATTGTGACAGGTAGAATAATCCTCCCCCAAAGATGTCCATGCCTTAATCTCAAGAACCTGTGAGTAGGTTATCTTACATGGCAAAAGAGACTTTGCAGATATGATTAAGGACGAAGACTTTGAGATGGAGATGGAGAGATTATCCTGGATTATTTAAGTAGGCCCAAACTAGTCAAGGGTCCTTAAAATTGGAGAACATTTCTTGGCTGAGCAGAGAGATGTAGTGTGAGAAGGACTCCACCCAACATTGCTGGCTTGAAAGATGGAGGAAGGGCATCCTGAGTCAAAGAGTGTGGCAGTCTCTAGAAGCTGGGAATACTCCTTGGTTTACAGCCAGCAAGAAAACAAGGGGCTCATTTTTACTACTGCAAGTAACTGGTTCTGCCAACAACCCAAATGAAAAGAAAACAGGTTCTCCCCTAGACACTCCCGAAAGGACAGCCTTGTAGATACCTTGGTTGTAACCATGTGATACCCATGCCAGACTTCTGACCCATGAACTACGAAATACTAAGTTAGCATTGCTAAAAGCCAATAAGTTTGTGCTAATTTGTTTGGCAATAATAGAAAAGTAATACAATAATAATGATACTTCTGAAGAGGGAAATGGCTGGTGACATCTAACCAGTGATTCCAGAGACCAGTCCTCAGAGACATTCTGAGACAGTAGGTCTTGGGAACCTGAACGTTTAACAAGTGGGACCTTCTGGTGCCATGCTTGTGCACCAGTAAATAAACAGAAATTGATCATGAAACCAGATCTAAATGTCAGACCCTTGATCTCATTCTGGAAGAAAAAAAGATGAAGAAAATACCAATACAGAGGAGATCAGCATCTTCTCTCTCCATCATATATTCTAAACTCTCATGATGAGGTCTATCCTATCCTCTTAGGATTTGACCACCATTTTCCTGAGCTTCAGCTCTGCCTGATTCTACCTGCTATGATTCTGCCATAGAGACTGACATTGACTGGCTGAGAGCGTTACCTGCCTATAGTATGCTTGGGCTACACACAGTAGTCAGGAGAGTTTTAAGTTCAGAATTCTGCTCTAAGGGGTGAAGCCTACCAGGAACTATCAAGTCATCTAAGAATAAAAGGTCTCAAAGAGATGCCATCAACAGCTGGCAAGTAGTCCTTTCTGGAACTACTTCTGTTGAGGTTCCGCTTACACAAGCTTGAAATATCTTCACCCCGATCTTCCTGACACCTTCAGTGTGTTATTGCCTGTTCCCGTTTCATTTCTAGCTGATCAACTGTTCTGTTTGGTCCCACACTAACCCCATTAACCCTGCTGATATAGGACTGTCTGGTCATACCTGACTGCCAATCCATCTAACACTGACTGTGAGACATCTAGCAATGCTTTTTGGCACCAATAGCCCAGAAGGCTGTGGGCAGAGATGGGAACCAAAGGAAAGGTAAAAGCAAAGTGTACATCTCCTCTTCTGATACCAGAAATAATTACAAAATTCAAAATTCTAAAGTTAAGGGCACCTGCCTCACCTTCTGAAAAGACAGCCCCCAAGTATTCAGGGCCACTCATCACCTCCAGCTGGGCCTTATGTGCAATGCTGTTTAGTTCCCACTCACCTGAGTGGGCTCCTGTCGAGATTTCTTTCTCCAACACACAGGGCTCTTCTCCTTCCTCCAACTGGCAGATCACATATGGTTTGGATACTGGAAGCCCTACAGTAGAGAAAGAAAATAATCATGGTTCCATGTGCTGTGTCCAAGCCTTTGGACATTAAGGTGGAGCAGAAATACTGTAGGTGTGGAAAGCCTCCAGAGAATAGGCATGATGACATGTCAAAAGTAGAGTCAGGTAACTTTTTATTTCAACTCCATAAAGAGTCGAACTTTTCCTAGAACTTGGAGGAGAAATACTGTATCTCTGGGCTCCAAAGAGAATGTAAATGTCTGATTTCAGAACCCCAGGCCAAAACTCAGCCAACAGGCTCACACATCTCTAGCTTTTAAATACCCAGGAAATCAAGACAGTCTGCCCAGCAGGCTTTGGGCTTTAGAGCAGCAGTGCTCACCCAGGAAGGCTAGGTTCCTGAAGTTCTCCAGCATCACCTCCCTGTAGAGCTCCTTCTGAGCAGGATCCAGCTGCCTCCACTCCCACCAGCTGAATTCCACAGCCACATCCTCAAATGTCATCAGGTCCTGAAACACAGAAGACACTCCTGTACCCTTGAAGAGCACACTTATGGCCTTGGGAAGTAGAGTAGACTGGCATCTGAGGAGACCCTCAGGGTATACAAGAAAGGATTGCAAGAGTTCCTAGCTATCCCACTGCCCACAGAGTTGTGGGTTTTGTCGTCTCAAAAATAGTTTAAGCTGCTTCAAAGACTGTATCACCCTTACTACATGGTGTCCTATGTAGTGCCACTTGTATGCCTATCAACATGAAGCTGCTAAGAAATATCTAAAAGCTTAATATATATGATTAGATATAGTAACATAAGTAGTGTGAATTGGTTGTTATTGGCTGCATTTGACAAAGTATTACAAGAAAAAAATAAGCCCAAGAGTTTGAGGTCTGCAAAACAAATATATTAAGAAATATAATAAGAATCAGGCCTACAGAAATATTCTGCTTAGATTGGGGAGGTATATGTTCCCTTATTTGTCAGAAAGTTTTATTCTCAATTTAGTTGCATTTAATTGGAATCAACTAGAATTAACAGACTAATATGCTTGTGTTCTCACATGCACAAGTATCAAAAGGCTTCTAATAAAGTATTTTTGAAACTTGTGACCTATGAGATTAACAATTTTTACTAAAGTCAAATAATTTGGGCCTTATAATAATTTATTCCCTACCTGCCTGCCAGCACACAGTTCAGCAAAAGTAAATCAAGTGGCTTTATAATGAAACAATAAGTTTTCTGAGTTTGACTAGCATAAGCCCTTTCTCCCAGAGCCTAATCATTATTCAGTTCCTGAGTCTACAAAGCTGAGCGTGAGACCCTGGATCCCAGGTCACCACTACTACAAAGTATAACCATTTTGTAGGTCCTGGCCAGAATTATCCTGTCACCCTCAATCTGAGTAATTAGAATACTTCCCTTTTGACTTATGTTATATAGCAATCCACTAAAAAGCAGAATAGGTAAAAGTACTAAACTCCTGTCACTTTTATTCCAAAGTGTTTAAAAATTAAAGCCCATTTAAATACTGATTCCATAGAATGGGCTGAAGCAACAATTTTATATTAACATAAAAGTAATCTAAATAATCAAATGTGAAAAACTCACTACTACAGTAACCTCTTGGAATAGATTATATTATTTGTGCAAAATATCCACTGGCCCTCCCGGTAGGTGTGAGCTTCCTGCCCTTGGTGTAGCCATGTGATCTGCTTTCTCAATTGGAATGTGAAGGAAGAGACATGAGCTACAGGTGAGCAAAGGCTTTCAGAACCGATGGGGGTTCTGCAATTATTATTTTCTGCCTGCCTTGAGAGTGGCAAATGATCCAAGTGAAAAATATGTGGGCAAGAGATAAACATTTTATTGTTTAAGTCTCAGGGTTTGCCATTATCATGGCATAACTAGCCTAAACTGGTTCATTAAAAAACTGGAGGCAACCCCTTCGGGTCCCCTCCCACTGTGGGAGCTTTTCTGTCCTCTCAATAAATCCTGTTTTCAAAAAAAAAAAGAAAGAAAGAAACTGGGGCCGGGCTCGGTGGCTCAGCCTATAATCTCAGCACTTTGGGAGGCCGCAGCGAGTGAATTGCCTAAGTCCGCGGGTTTGAGACCAGCCCGGGGAACTTGGCGAGACTCGTTTCTACAATAAACCAAAAATTAGCCAGGCATGGTAGCACACACCTGTAGTTCCAGCTACTTGGAAGGCTGAGGCGAAAAACTCGCCGGAGCCCAGCAGGTCGACACTGGGCTGGCCATGAGCATGCCACTGCCCTCCAGCCAGGGCAACAGAGTGAGACTCCAACTCAAATAAATAAATAGATAAATAAATAAGAAACTGGTACTCAAAGTAGGGTTCTGCCGTAATAAAAAGCCAAAAATATGACATTGGCTTCAAGGCTAGGTAGTGTAGAAACTTACTGGCAAGATAGCAACCCGTGTAATTTCGTGGTAAATTGTTAAAACTACTGCCTTCAGCAACTGGAAAGATGAGCAACCAGGTGCAGTGGTTCATGCCTGTAATCCCAGCACTTTGGGAAGCAAAGGCAAGAGGATTGCCTGAGTCCTGGGGTTCAATATCAGCCTGGGCAACTTGGCGAGACCTTGTCTCTACAATAAATAAAAAAATTAGCCAGGCAGGGTGGCATGTGCCTGTGGTTTCAGCTACTTGGAAGGCTGAGGCAGAAGGACTGCCTGAGCCCAAGTAGGTTGAGGCTGCAGTGGCCATGAGCATGCCACTGCACTCCAGCCTGAGTGACAGAGTGAGACGCTTTCTCAGAAAAAAAGAAAGATGAACAATGTAAGCATGAACTTGTAATGTCATGAGAAGAGGCTAGAAACAACATTAGTAGTATGAGTTGGTTCTTATTGACTGCATGTGACAAAGTACTACAAGAAAAAAATCAGCCCAAAAGTTTGTGGTCTTCAAAACAAAGGTGGAAAGCAACAGAAAGTATCTGGAAATGTCAAAACTTGTAGGGTTGAAGACTTAACCAATTCTTATTTCCAACGGCCAAAGACAATATACATAAGGCTTTTGCATTACCATAGATGATTAAAAACTCAGCCTATTAAGGACAAAGTCACAGATGTTGTTGTCTAACCTTTTTTTTTAAACTTCGGAATAACTTCAGATGGCTTCCAGTGGGACGCCAATCCTTTCAGTGGGCCCAAATGGCTCAGAGTGGAAAAAAAGTATTTCCCAAGGAAATCCAAAAAGCCTCACAATTAAGTCTAAAAAGAAGGGCATATTAAAAAAAAGAAAACTGGGTCAAGCTATTGACACATGGAGCTGACTAGAAGTAAATGCATAAAAAGCTGATCAGGTTTTTGAGAGTTGCACTTAAAACAATCCTGGGCCATTGACCTACTCAGGCAGGATGAAAAAGCTGCTTAACCTTCAAAAGAGCTTAATCTTCAATATTACCCTATGTAACCAAGAAGGATACCATAAAAGGAAGGAACTTCCTGAGGGCAAAGCCAACAGCCAAGAAGAAACTGCACTGGGGAGCGCCACACAGGAAGCAGAACCAGGGCATAAATCAAGAGACTTTCCCACTCCCAAGGCAAAGGTCTTCACAGTGTCTGCCCAGTAGAATTTCCTAACTGTTGGCACCTGGGACGGCTGGGCTCCTCCCATGCTGCCCCTTTTTGAATAGGAGTGTTTACTGCAGTCATCCTGTCCCCATTGTTCACTGTACATACAATATATGGATTCAAGTAATTGTCCCTTTAGTTCATAGGTCTCCAGATCCATAGGCTCTCCACCCAGACCCGATGTGGAGACTATCACGCCATGTAGGACTTTGATCATGATGTTCTGACTTAATGGGGCTTTGGGGTTATCTCTCTTGGGGAGGCATTTTGTCTGCAGGAGAAAGGGAAGTAAATATCTATGAGTAAGAAAATAGACAGTGGTAAACTAATTGTTTAAATTCATCACTGCTCCTCCCTTTGGGTCCCTCACAATAGGTGGCATATACTTCCCACTTCGTTGGCATTAGGCTTGGCCACATGATGTGCTTCAGCCAGTGGTTTGTGAGCAGAAGCAACGCATGCCACTTCTGAGCAGAAGCTTGAAGACCAATCCCCTGGATCTGACATTGCTCTTTCCTCTAACACAAGAATGGTATATCCCAGAGAGGGATTAATCTTTCAGTCTGAGCCACAGAGTGAAGAGGGTAGGAAGCAGAGTCACAGGCAGCCCGTCACTGATAAACGCAGCAAAAAGAAAAAATACACCTTTGTGACCAGGAGCCATTGAGATCTGGGTGCTGTTGTTACCACACTGAACTAGCCTAAGCTCCCTACTATACCTCTGAATGATGTACATCAAGGCCAAACAGATGTAAGCTCTATTCATGACTCTACTGATTAATTGGAAGCATTCCTTATTGGTGGAGGTTCCCCCCTTTGGCTTGAAAATGAAATGTGTCTGTCATCAAGCCAGAATCCCATACACCACCATCTTGGATGCTAGGAAACCACAGGCAGTCACAGCCCTCCAGTTGGTTCTCCTCCACATCAGCCTCTGGAATCAATCACCATGATCCTCAAAGCTGACGAGAATTAAGCAACTGCCATTTGTCAGATGACTCTAACAAGTATGAGGCAGTTGTATTACTGAGTGGTTAAGAGCATGGAGCTAGACAGCCTGAATTTGAAACTGGGGGCCCTTCCTTACTACCTAGATAACCATGAAAATGTTACTTAATGGTAACCATTTTATGGGAACGTTTTAAAGATGAAATGAGTTAGAATATGTAAATTGTGAAGAACAGTTCCTAATATGGATTTGGCTCTCTGGAAATAATAATTATCATTTTCATCATCAACATTATTATCATCCTCATTTTACAGGTGGGAAACCAATAGAGATGTTAGGTGACTCATCTAAGACCACAAGGCCTGTAAATAGTGAAATTAAATCTGTCTCCTCGCTAATCTGGGAAGATGACATCTGAAAGGGACCCAGCCTCAAATGGCCTCCCCACCAATGCATACCCTCAGAATCTTTTGTCCCCACTTCTCCACAAGCTCTCCCAGCCTCTCCAGCACAGGCCAATTCTCCATGTCATGAACCTCAACAGAAAGGCCTCTCTGTGCCACTCCATTTGCCATCTAACCATGCACATCCTTACTGTGATTGGTGGTTTCATCCCATGATGTGACACTCCTTCAAGGCCAAGGCTTTGTCATTTTACTCAGTAGTCACCACAGAACCCATTACAGAAATAAGCCAGAGTAAACCCAAAGCATCCAAGCGAAAGAGGGCCTACCAAGAGAAGAGAGGAACATGGGCAAAGGCAGGGAGGCCATCATTCACTTTGACAGGCTCAGTCTCCTGCAGAGCAGCCACTGGGGTCAGTTCCCTTTGACGAACAAAGACGCTGGAGAGAGAAGGAGGCAAAGCTATCCGTATGGTTCAGGCCCTTAAGAAAAAATTAAGAAAACCCCAACTCACCTGGGTCCTGGCTTCCAGGAATAAACCGGCTGTGCCCTTTTCTTCTGAGTATCTCTCTGGAGGAAGAGCAGGGTCCTGAGAAGGGAGAGCTAGGAAGGTAAAAGGAGCCATAAGGGAGGCTAACTCTTGCGGCATGTAAAGCTCCCAGGCTCCCCAAGTTGGAGACCCCTACTCTGCGTATCACCTCTATGGTTCTAGGGACACAGGTGGGTCAAAGGGAGCTGACAGGCAGCTTCTAGAATGCCCACATCAAAGAGAAGTGTCCCTGTACCAAACTGCATGAGGCTCCCACCCTTCCATAGGCTCACAATAGGCTGCAGGTAGGTAAGGTATGACCACAGTCTGGCCATGCCACTGGAGAGTTAATTACTGGACCTGCCATATGCAGGTCCTCTACTAGGCCTTTTGGAAATATAAACACAAAGAAAACCATCAAAGAACTTTTAAATCTAGCCTGCAGGTTAACCACACAACACGGTCCTAGGCAAGGTCACAGAGAGATATGAGGACTTAAGGGGAAGAAGTTACACCTCTCCCCTCATCCCTGGTGTTCCCAAGCACTATTAGGTCTCTGCAGCACACTTAGAGAGCTTTATATAGTACTGTTTTTAAAACCTCAAAACAAAAAACTAGCCCAAATCATGCTAGAGAAGTGGTTTAAGGCTAACACAACAACAAAAACATGGAAGTAGGCAAGTAGCATAGTATAGTACATGTCAGTACTTCTCAAATCTTCGTGTGCATGTGAATCCTTAGGATCTTGGTAAACTATGGTTCAGGACTTGTTAAGACTCCTGATATAGGTCCTGAGGGTCTGCACTTCTAGAGAGCTCCAGAGTGATGCCTTTGCTGGTCTACTGGTCACACTGGGTAGCAAGGAAAAAAAGAGGGGGTGGGACGGGAAGCCCAGGGATTGGGCCCAGTTCTTCCACCAGCCAGTTTTGTGTACTTGAGCACATGTGCTGAAAAATGAACAAATTAAAATGCCCATCTGGTGCGGGACAGGATATTCTAAACTTACAAAAGAATGGCTTAAAACCTCCTGGGTTACCTGAATTGCCTGGGCTCCAACACTACTGGGGAAAAGGTTCACAGGAGGCACCCATCAAGTAGACTACTGACCTTGTACACAGTTGAGCTAGAAGAGCTGAAGAACCTTATTAGTGAGGTGATTAAGGAGGTGGGTGGCAAGGTCCAAATGGCCCTATTGTTCTCTGATCCCCCGCCAAGGGCCACTCCCTCTTGGGTTTGTTTGCCCTCTCCCTACCACAGCAGGAAGAGATCAGATCCTCTCCCCCCTGCTCGCTCTCCTTGTGCAGTTTCAACTTTAGTCATTGGGCAAGCCTTCTGTGGCCATCCCTTCCAGCTCCACCACAACCATCCAGAGACCCATTCCAGACCCAGAAGACTGGGACTTCAACCTCCTGGGTCTAGAAGGTTAGGAATCGCCACAGGAAAGGCGGTTGCAAGCTGTGTCCCTTCAGTGGCATTCCCCGGCCTCTTCCTAGGGTGTTCTTCCTAGGCCTGGTACTAACTCCCCAGGAGGGCTTCTGGCCCTCTGCAAGCTTGCGAGCCAAACCTGATTCAATGTAGTCCATAGCTGGCGCTAAGGGGCGGCGTCCTTTCACTAGGTCCAAATCTCTGTCTCTCGTGCACAACCCTGCGGTCCTCCAGAGGGTGCAGGGAGTAGGGAGCAGGCTGGAGCCACCTGGGTGACACGGGGCATTCCCGCTCGGCGCCGCGAGGGCCAGCAAACCTGCAGGGCCCAGAACACGGCAGCCAAACCTGGAAAGAGCCGGTGCGCGGTGCAGGGCCGCCCGGAGCCGTGTTCTTCTCTCGTTCCGGGGAGCAATCTCAGACGCCTCAATGCCCGGCCTCCCCCTACGGGTTCCTCTCTGCCGCCCTTCTCCTCGGGACCAGGCTCTGGACCCTGGTTTCCACGCGGATCCCCACCTGCAGTGGGCTCACACCACCAGGAGACCGGCCGCGCCACACCTGAGACCCCAGCGCTCCTCCGCTGCCGGGAGACAGCAGAAAGCCTCACAGCGACAGGGCCTGGCCCTAGCAATTCGGCCTCCCTCTCCCCCCCAGCTCCAGCCTCCACAATCCCTCGCAGGCAGGCACACGCGAGGACACTCCCAGTTCTGTCATGGGTCCCGTGCGTAGTGACCAAGGCAGACCTGCAGGGCAAGAGTTGCGGAACCCA